AAACACATTTTGCACCCTCCATCACTACCTCTCATGGGATAAACAAACCACTCATACAATAATTTACCTACTTAATACCAAAACCACTAAAAATCAATAGATACCATTACCTATTACACTACATCTAAGAAACTAAAGGGAAGAAGGGAACATCCAAATATCAATACAATTAAGTTTCTCATTTCCCTGTCTTATTCTTAAATGCTAATTCTTAAATGCTAATTCTTAAACGCTAATGATCCCTACTTAATTGAGCGCTCGAACTAATACAAATAATCTTATAAACTAATCGCCAATGTGTACGATTGAACACTACAGTGTGTTTCTTTTCGATACATGAAAATCTCCGTTTCTTCTTTGATGTAATCATTGGTCTAACGAAGATTTTCTAAAATATAAAGAACCTATCTAATTATAAATCTAATTGTAGTTACATCCCGCCTGCAGAAATTACTTATTTTCTGTTTGCTTCTTTTTTGTTGTTCATTGGTCCCACGAAGAATTTCTAAAACAAACTCAAGTGCAATAAACAGAATTTCATGGGATATTATTTTACAGAAACGTGAAATTCGAGTCCCATGTTGTGGTAATTTTTATCACTCCTCTTGAAGAAGTATACGAAGTTCCACATTTCATTTTTGAGCCCATCGGATTTTGTTATTCCTGGACACCTATGACTCCAATGTAAATATGCCCTGAAACATAAACTAGTTCGGTGGATTAGTAGACATACAAATACAAAGAGAAATGCGACAGCTGAAAAAAATATTTATTAGTACATTATGGATGCATTCCTGGAAACCTTTGATTTCAATGTAAATGTGCCCTGAAACATAAACTAGTTCAGTGGATTAGTAGACATACAAACATAAAGAGGAATGTGAAAGCTGAAAAGAATATTTATTAGTGCATTGTTGATGCATGAGTTCGTTATCATCCACAGTGAAATTGAAATTTGAAAAAGTTTTATTTAAATTATGCATTCGTTGCACGAAAATGAATTTCATTTCAGTGCCAAAAAAAAAACGAATAGATTAAATAATACTTTATTTTAGTAGGCAGACAATGTCTTGGAAATTTGAATTGATTAAAATAAAAGTTATAAAAGATGTTATTTTTCGACGACTTTGTAAAATCAAAGTGTTTGTAAAATCCAATGATCCATAGATTTTGATTTCGACATTAATTAATGAAGACACGTTAACGTAATTCGAAATGATATTACAGAACAAAATTCAAATTATTTTTATAAAGAAATTAACGAACACGCGATTATCGACTCTACTTTCAATTTTACTATCGATACAAAGCGTGAAATTGCATTTACGTGCCCTTTTTAGCGCAACCTTTATATTAATCATTATATTAAGCAGCGGTCGCGAGCAAGTTTCGATTGATGCAACAAATATCGAATATTTATAAAAAAATATCCCCTACTTTGTCACATCAAATATCTTGTAAGTCGATTATTAAAAAAATGTATCCCGTAGCAACCCTAGAAATGAATATTCGTTACTGTAACAATTCCGATAGTTAATTAAATTTATTGTCATCATGTAACAAATATATAGCAAAAACATATCATCCAAAAAAAAAAAAAAAATGACAAAATGTTAAGCAAGACTTTAATGTCACGCGACATAAAACATCTTTTCAAGATATAATTATATTTTATAGCAATATTGTCGGTGACGAACACTCGAATGACAATAACAAAATAACGAGCAAATATGACGAACAACCTAACTCTGATCTAATCCAATTAAAAACATGAAAATTAATTCCAAACGGACGCGATATTCATCATACGCAACACTAATTGCAATCGCGATCTATATTTGTTCGCAACACTACTCTGAAAGAAAACGCGAAAGACTCTAATAAAAAGTGACTAAAGCTATCGCGAGGTGCGTCATTATCCGCAACACTAATTTAGAAAAATGAAAATTCTCCCGTGCACCATATTAAAAATAAAACGGAATCCTGAGTCTAATTTAAAGACGAGCAGCCGTCTCAGCTGCTCGATGATCCTGGAGCTGGTGTATCGGTGTCTGGGCTTTTTATATTTCGAAATACTAATTCAAAACGCGAGAATCTATTTTCAATCGAACGCGATTATTCGTTATACGCAACACTAATTGCACTCGCGGTTGGTTCATTCGTTTGCGACTCTACCCTGAAAGTAAACGCGAAAAATTTTATTCAAAAGCTAAACTGACTCTAAATACTACTTCAAAACGGACGCGATTATTTGTTTACACGCAACACTAATGCCACTCGCGGTTGATTCATTCGTTAGCGACTCTACCCTGAAATAAAACGCGAAAGAATTGAATCAAAAGCAAGATTCTAAATACGATTCCAAACGGATGCGAGCAATATTCATTCATACGCGACACTAAAAGCAATCGCGGTTGATTCCTTATTCGCAACACTACTCTGAAATAAATCGCGAATGATTTTAATCAAAAGCAACAATCCTAATAAAACGACCGCGATTTAATTCTCATATCGCAACACTACTGTAAAACGCGATATGCCCAATTGACACTGAATGATGAGTTCCCACGTTGGGGTACACGACCCAAAAATAACAAACTACAACTACAGGCGAGTACGGTGACAAAGTAATAACGATAATGACTTTCCATTTTCGAACTCGAAGATGGATAGCCATTCGTTGCAGCCCATTGCATACAGCCTCTTCTTTCTTCGGACGCATTGTCCCATCTGAAACTTATAGCTAGGGTCGAGGTTCGGTGCAATACGTGGACGTTCAACCCGGTGAACCATACGTCTAGAACTTCGAGGGAACGAGCGTTTCGAACAACCCTACTGATCACGACCGCGACCGCGAAGCAACGACTCTCAGAGTCGAGATCCGAAAAATCGAAAACAGATACAGAAACAAATGGACGGAAGCTCCGTTTGAATCGGTATTGCATCGATTCTTCGAATCCACCTACAGTAACAGATCCGTCAACCGTTGCGCGACCTACCCAAACTAAAGTGACGAGATCTGCCCTGGACCCTACCTACTGGGATTTAACGTACACACTACAAGTTAAGTTACCTACCTACCTAACCCTATATTTAAAAATGGCAAAACAATCACACCAACACGTACGCTCAACGATTCTCATTCAAGGCTCTCGGGCGCGGCCTAAACTAGGGAGACATCCCGGGATGTCTCCGACACCCGAGTTTACCATACAACATTCACACTCTAAGGTACGTACCAGTTCCTGAAATCGTCTGACAAAAGCTAACGATCTTTGCGTATAAGTAACGCGTGAATATATAACTCCAAAACTATCGGTCGAATGGAAAATTTCAAATATGGAAATTGCATGGTAAAGCGGGGCTCATGTTTCAGCGAGAAGGAATTTTTGTTAAGTTTGTTATTTAACGAGATATGATGGTCAAGTTTCGTTTCTCAAATGGAACTATATACATTTTTTTATATCCTGCGATAGTACTTTCCAAGACGAATTCATTAAGCTTTAACGTATTTACCTGATTTTTATTAGTTTTCAGGCCAGAACGCTTCAAAGTTTGCTAATTTTCAAGGAAAAATCTTGGTTCGGTCCCGGGCGGTCCCATTGATGCGTTAAGCACCATGCGGTTTTTGAAATCGATACGGAGGAAAATGGGAAGAATCCCAATATTCTGGGCCTAGAATCCCAAGCGAGATCCTCCGTATCGATTTCAAGAACCGCATAGTGCTTACTGCTTATCGTTTTATTCCAATATAACTGTACTTTTATGAACAATCTAACTAACCCGAATCGAAATAACTCGCGAAGGATTGTAATTTAATTAAGGGAATCGTAATATCAATTGACGCGGAATGGAGAACGACAAATCGCGATACCGATTAAATATCTTTCATTACAGTTAATTAATTAAAAATATGTTGGTATTATACGAAAGCTGAAAGTAAACGTGAGTAATATTAGTAGTTATTAACGATTAGATGGCAACAGGTAGAAGATACATACTTAGATAGTCGCGAGACACGCTGGATACGTCTTATCGCGTCCAAGTACACGAAACTAATGGCGACTGCCGGCGTCGCGAGATCGAGACATTTTGGGAGAGAAGAAGACGGGTGGGGGTAACCCACTCCTCACACTTCGCGTTTCGAATTATACGATGGACACACAGATAGAAATTGCAAATGATTTATTACATCTTTAAACTGTTATAGCATATTCTATATCGTGAATATAGAACTAGTACTAACAGTATAGAATTAACTGAAATAGTAATAGCGTATTTTCTTACATTTAAAGGATTATACCGTGATCCATCGTTAGAGCCACGAGTAATTCGATAAACATCCTATGTTCGTAATAATATTAAATGTATTTACTTTTGTTAATTGTCCAACAGCAATGGACGAGATTCTTGAATTTCTTTTCGGTTGAATGTTTCACACAGTCTGTAGAGAGCGTGCTTCTCTGAGGCTTTCTCGAAGTTGTATATTTTAGGAACATTGCAATAAAATAATTATATCAGCACTGGTTGATTTATTTAAAATGATGATGATTCTACACTCTTAGCTCCAGCTAATTTCTTAAAGTATAAAATATTGTTTTCTGTGATGCAACAACATCCACCGAACACCCACGATAAAGGGTTAAAACTGGTTGAAACTTGAAACAGTGTAATAGATTCTATATTATATGGAACTCATGTGCGTACTAACAGGTGTGAGAAACTGATCCCTCTAGTGGAGAATTCTTGAATGTACTATTAAATTTTAATAGCACCATCTACTTATGCGTAGGTAAATCATCGACAATTATTTAGAAAGATATAATTATATATTCTAGCAGTTCACGATTTCGAGAAAAGAACAAGTTATATGATAAAGTTAAGTTATAATTGATTCTCTCTTCTTCTTAAATAAATAATGGATAGTTGAATCCTAAGAGTACTGATAATGTAGGAATGTATCTTGCTTACTACGACAAGGTTCAGCGTTTTGCCACTAGTGCCACCAGTAGAAAAAATATTGGTAATGTCGGATCATATTTTCTAGTTGATGTCAGTTTTTAAAAAAGTAATTTAATCGTTGTCAATCATGAACATTTTGGCTAGAAGTATAACGAGTATAGCTAGGTCTTGCCTAGGAAATTCCATCGAAGGTACAATTATCACATTGTTTGTATACATCATTACCTAACCTTTAAACTAACCTCTTGGTAGATGAAATACCCACGTTTTCCCTTTTATAAATAATATTCGACGATTTCCTATATTTCTATAGTTTCAGATGTCATTAAAAATTATATTACTTTGTTATGTTAATATTTGAATACCATTAACACCTCAGTTTACCTTTACGAAGTTTGTTCATAGCATTAATTAAATTGCCACTATTTACTGTAGTTATGTGTACATACTAGTAATAAACAACACGTTTGTTGCAGGCAGCAGGCCACATTTAACGCAGTTATACTTGAACCCTGGCATTCAAGGTATTTATTACTTGCGGAATATAACATCTTACATCCGTATACCAAATGGAGTAATTTCCTTGAAATGTAAGAATTTTTATTTTTATCAACAGGAAGCCTATTGAATGCTGCAAGGTCTTGTCTTGGAAACATAATGCAAGGTAATATGCAACAGCGCAATAGAGTTTCATAGTATTCCAAGCCTACAAACAGCTTCTGCTGTATGAAAGGAATTTTGAACAAATTATTTCGCAAAAACAAAAAGTACTTGTGCTGCGTTCATCTCGGGGAAGCAAGGGGTTATGTATAGCATGTCATAAAATGAAGAAAATGTACTTCTATTGATTATAGAATTAGTATTAGGTTATCCCAAAAGTTTCTTTCGCTTTATTAATAAGTAATACATGCACAATAGTTTATGTTTTATGTTACATTACTGAATTGTGCACGATTCATTTTGCTCCATTACTACATTTTTGTTACAACATGAATATCTATAAAATTAGATTGTCTATTTATATAAACACGACCACATAAAATAATTGAATGCAACTCGCGAAAGAAACTTTCGGGACAACCTAATATATAGAAGAGGTATCCTAAAATTGAAGGGAAAAAGGCACTCGACCTCTAAGGTTGACCCATTTGCATGAAATCGTGCGAAACTTCATCGGCCTTGTTTGCGTTTCCCATAAGTGTAACAAGGCGGGACAATGGCACGGGAATTTCGAGTGACATCTCGAGTTTCCGTAAGCCTTTTGGATAGATCCGTATCTCTGTCCGTAGAAATGCGGCAAAAGGGTGGTCGACCTAGAAAAGGGGACCGCGGCTTTCGGGCATTCTTCTTCGCGAAAATGCGCGTGGCTCGCAAAAGCGCACGCAGTCTCTACCTCTTTGATCCCCGGGAAAGGAGATCTCGAAATGCAAAAAGGGATCCGGCTACTCCGCAAGAAAGGACACGAATGGGGTGAAAAGGGGGATTCCTCCATGGCCAATAGCGAAAATCGGTGGGAATCGAAGGGGGTGACGTGTCCATTTGCGGTTGACCAGTTGTCAGAAGCGATCGCTGATGGGTACAGGCTACGACGGACTGTTATTTCTATTTTCCCCATTTCTTGTACAAAAGGAAACTCGTTGAACTAGCGCGATCGTCCATTTCTCCCTATTTTCATCGGTACATCTAATGTATTTATGAATTATCATAGTTATCAATACTTCGTATTTTCTATTCACGAACAAAAATTATATTAAAGGGGCCTAACGCGACATTTGTTACTTAAATTCAAACCATTGTTGACAATTACAACTAAACATGACCATCTGTAGATGTTTCTTTTTAATTTCTCTATTATTCTGCTTTCAGTGAGCCCGTACTAACTCTTTTGACCTGTCTCTGTGATCGTGTTTCCTTCTTCTTGGCCTGGCGCTTCTAACCAGTTTCTAATTACGCAAAACGTACAGTATTTCCAAAGTGCAGGAGGATCGCAATCCTAAGACGAGCCACAGGTTTTACCTGCGTCGGATCTTGGCTGCGTGAACGCGACAAAGGCGTAACCGCGACGTCGAAAATTTTCGCAATGTAATCTTGCGCATTGATCTTCTGGAAAAGGGGTTGCCTTCCGTGCATAATAGGTTCTGCTGGTCTCTTGCCTTAGTTAAGTCCGAGTTAGGTCGGATTAGCGGTGGCAGGCTTTGGACATCTGTCGTATTGACGGACGGTGGTCAGCCAGATCTCGAAATGAACAACAATGGTACAGTCTCATCCAACAAACCTCGGAAAATCGGTGAACCGCTGTAACCCAGGAGAATATCGCGAAATTGTCATGTCATCCTCGACGTTTCACTTAAGATCCAAAGGGGACACGTTCGTCTTCCTAAGTTCCCTCAGCACCGTGGCGTGATCGATTCTGCACGATGATTTTGGAATCTTTAGGCTACATGTAGTTTCTATTAAAAAATGATGAAGGATCTAATACGTTTCGTTATTGATATTTGCAAGGACTTGTGCAGGAATGTTTAAAATTACGTGGAACTTGGTTTGCTCTCTTCTGTGGTAATTACCTTTGACGTTTGATGCATTGGTGTCATCTAAGCGTGTGGTTAGCGATTCCATTGTTCTCGCTTTTCCATGACAAATTGCACAACGCTTTGGTAATGATACATCATTAATATAGTAAAAGAAGAAACGCGAGAGCTGTCGAGTCAACCTTATACTTCTTCAGAGTTTCTATACTCTGAGGTATTATTTTACTGTTTGTAAGTATCAAGGAGATAGCGAAGGCTATCTTATTTTATTTGATAAAAGTAGATCAACATCACGGATCGACATGTTCAATAATCGAAACATCAATGCCAACGGTAAGGGTAAATTGTAATCAATTGTTCCTCTGTCGCTGTTCACTTCGAATCCAAACGATCTCACGGATCTTGGACGTTCCGTGCAAAGGTGGGTGGACCAAGTCTCGCAACAATGTTGCTTAATAAGCTTATGCACGCTCGAGCGGGAAAGGACTGCTTTCGTCGAGCGGCTTGCAGATGTCAGGCGTCCGTCATATTTGATATTCCGTCGGAGACCCTCTTTTCTTAGGCTCGTAAGATTATTTGCGAAAGAGTTTTCAGTTTCCCAGTACCGTTACCGCGCCGTGGGTCTCCATTTTTCGGGACCTCGTTCACAATAGCCTTGACTGGGACACGTTGATCCCTGGGGACTCTTCTACTTCCCTATCGACGCTCTTCTACGAGTTTCGAGTCTCTTTGTCGCAATCTTCGGCTGATAAAAATTGCATCTCATCCGAGGTCTTTCTTTTTTCTAGGTTTCGAACAGATAAGACTAGGGTCATCGTTATGGCAAATGCACAGGAGAGGGAAAACTTACAAGAAGAGGAGAAACAAGAACCCACTGGACGGAAAGCCATTCGCGAAAGGCGTGGTTCTCAGAACGGTTATTAAAAAACCAAAGAAACCGAATTCCGCGAATCGAAAATGCGTTGTCGTGCGACTCTCGACCGGCAGGGAAATGACCGCCTACGTACCCGGTAGGTATACCAGAAGTAGAAGTACCGACTGTGTAATACAAGCATATTATTATCAATAGATTGCGGAAGTTTATGCAAATGCATATTTTTATAAGAAATAGTTAAAAGAATGGAACCTAGACAGAAATTTGTTTTGAAATTAGAGTACTATAAAAATACATTTTTTATTTTGCATATTTTGCATATTTATGTTTGAAAACATATGCAATAATATATTGCATATGTTACTTATCCTGCTTATGTGAAATATCTATCTTCACAAATTAGTTTCGTCTATCACCAATCTTTCGTATCATAATTGAAGTTTAGAAAAGAATGTAGGATTTTCTACAGTATCGAAAACTTTCTAATATTTTAAATAACGAGGGCGTTCAAGGACCAATCAGTGTGCCGGAACAATGTTGGTCTAAATTTAAATACGCACCGATTACTTCGTGTGACATAGAGCGATTGTTCTCCGCGTATAAATTAATTTTGACAGACAAACGCCACCAATTAACACCATTAAATTTGGAAAAAATGCTCGTAATTTATTGTCACGCGAATTATAATATACCAGAATAATTGTGGAAAGTATTTTGTATATGTGTACATATCGAATATTCTGTAACATACTAATATGTTACTTATTATACTATATTTTATTCAAATTTTGTCGTGCATATTTTGCATATTTTTCGTGCATATTTTGCATATGCATGTTACATATTTATCGTGCATAAACTTCCGCAGTCTAATTGTCGATAACAGTAAATGTTACGGGGTTAAGTCTCTTTTATCATTTGATGCACATCGTTACGTCCTTTTATATTACAGGGATCGGCCACAATCTCCAAGAACACAACGTGGTGCTATGCAAACCGGGGAGGGTGAAAGACACCCCTGGTGTCAAGATCAGATGCGTTCGTGGGAAATACGATTTACCACACCCGTTGAAAAGAACCGATTGATCCCATAGTTTATCAGCATTGAAAATATTGTAATGCTATGTTTGTAAAGCTAGAGTAAATACTATTGAAACACCATCCAGTTTATTTCGCTATTACACCCGGAAGACTAGTTATTAGCCACGGAGAACTGCGGAAAAGTCCCGGATATCTAACGTGTTATTTCTAAAATAACAATTTGATGAGATTGAAACAAATTTGTCATCCTATTAATTTATACAATCTACGCTCGACAGTTATATTAATTGTAGATATTCAATGTTTCGCGATCGATGAACGAGAAGGGATTCCGCGTGGTCACGCTTCTCGGATCTAGCGGCCCACAAATTGTGGCCTTTTGACACACATTTCGAACGAGGTGGCGGTCGTTCCCCACCGTGCGTTTACCGTTAGCTGGACCGTGCATCGTCCTCCGTAGACGAGGAGACGCGGAGCGCATTGTGTTCTTGTATATCGGGATGTCACAATGCGAAAAGGGTACTGGGCGCAGCCCCCCTTCTTTGGACATTATTACGGAAGGGTTGGCCGCGGGCCTTCTAGCATCTGCACCCCTGTATCCACCCACGCGGCCACTGGCTATTGACCATATGACATGCTGACCAACATCCCGATGTTTTGAAAAGGCTGGCTCTCAACCTGGTTGTCTGGAACGCATAACGTTTCCATTTCGATCATAGTTGGGCGTTCCTCGTTTCACAATTTTCAAGATGTTAGGTCGAGTAATTAAATTTGTTCAAGGGGATTAAGTCACAGATATTTGAGGGATGAAAAATAATATACGAATGAATATGCCAAATCGGTTTCCTCATCGGTTTTACGAATCAAATCATTCTCGAAAGCTGCCATTAGCAATTGTTTATAAAGGAGACGTTAATTAGTGGTTGGACGCTGTAATATGGTTTGTATTCTTAGACACTATTTTTCTATGGTAATAAATAGAATCTACTTATTATGTATTCTTACCGAGGTGTGGGACTATCTAAATCCAATGTTCTTCCTTGAAATCTAGGACATTGAAGGGCACCGAATGAAATGAGAACCTGCTGGAGAACGTTCAACCCCTTGTAAGGGACGTTCGCGGCAATTGTTATCGAAAGGCTTGAGCAGGACAGATTCTATGTTTATTAAGTTTTCCCGTTGCGCGTTTCGCTTCCCGGCGATTGCCCAAATAGAAGGTTAAATGGCACCACTTCGAAACCTCGAAAAAAGCAGGAAACACAAGGACCGTCCGTCGTAAAAGAAGCGCGAAAAAAACATCAGATGGGATCGGTGTAATCCGTATACAAGGAGGCGAAGAGGGTAAAAATGGATTTTTCGCGCACCGGTCAAAAATGGTCGTTAACTAATTTAAACCGTTTTGAAAGTCAGGCGAAGTTAATCCGTTGCGCTATAATCGAGTTTTCCTTAATCCAACCGATCCCATCTCCGGTTCCACCCGTTGTAAACAGTCCCTGGCCGAGGAGGACGCGCGTAATAAAAAGCAACGACGGTATTTTCGACGACGATGTGGCACGGAAAAAGACTGCCAGAAAGTTCAACGATTTTTACTGCGTTACGGGGGACGAGCATGTACCTGACTCGAGCTGACGAGGAACCTTAACGTTTACGACCCCTTCGCAGTGTAGTTAATAACGTGGTTCTCTGGCACGATGGTTTCGTCGGTGAAACCGGTTGCTTTATTACGGTTTTCCGTAATAATCACGGTCTCTTTGTCGATTGCATTTCGCTCTAATAAATGAGTCTCGTTCACGACACGCATATTCGGTCCCCGCGTAATTACGAGCAGGCTCCTATTCACCCAATGCTATTTAGAGGATTTTCTGCTTTGGAACATTAAAAAAAGGTTTAACGCTTCCTTGTGAATTTTTTTTTTTTTTACTGTAGAACTGGAGGCAACGTTCAAGCCTCGCTTGCGAATTTAAATGGATTAACAAATTCAAAGCACAGTGCGGACGTTCTCAGAAATGTTATGGGATGGTTGTTCCAGCTTCTTTCGCCAAAGAAAGAATCCTCGAAAGAGAATAACGTGGAAATGTAGTTTGAGGACGACAAAGCCAGGACAGGAGGGCGCATAATGCAAAAATCTTCCAGCGACCGCATCACTCCTCTCGAAGGACGCTCAAACAAATGGCGTGTAAACGCTTTTGGGGCTCTGTCGAGATTCTCAACTCTTTACCGTGCAGCTTAGTAATCGGACACCGAGCGATCTACTCCGCAAAGTTTTGTCCGCGGTTTGCTGCTCTCGACACAACGGCTTTTCTAGTTTCGGCTTACCAGGTCTCGTTGGTATCTTGCGATCGGTGGGTTTTTACGCGAGCCCTGCTTACACCTTTGATTCTACGTCGTTACGATGTAGAACTGTACTACTGTAGAACTAGAGCTTGTAGCGCAGTTGCTATGGTTTGATGCAGGTCGACATTCAATATAATAATATTTTTACGGGTTCGGGTACAAAACTCATGTCTTACCTTCTGAACAGTGTAACATGTATATTATTATTAGACTGCGGATTTTTTTGCAAAATAAAATCTTCGTGAACGTGCCTACAAAAATTGAATCTAAATAGGAATTTATTTTATTCTGTAAATATTATAACATGAACTTTACTTTCGATCTTTTTTATATTTTTGCATATTGTTTGCATTTTGTAGTTTCTTGCACATTCAAATTTCCTATAAATGCATAAAGATCCGCACTGTAATTATTATATTCTGCATTCATTTATGTCCTCGTATTCTCATATTTTCATTTATCATAAATACGTAGACATTCCCAGCAATAAGTCAGTGACATAAATATTCGTACCCTCTATTACTATTGAAGAAATTTGTTTAAATTAAATGGTAGGTTTGATGTACCCAACTGTATGTTTGTATAAATATGTTGATGTATATATAAGTATACACATATACATATACATACAGCTTATTCATATACGTATTTATAATGAAAGATTCATTTGGTAATATCGAAACTATTATTTAATTTAGACAAACTTCTTCAGTAGACACAGATGGTGAGGATATTTATAGGACTGACCGTATCCAGACTCATCTAAATTGCTTTGATGCAATTAATTGTGTTTAAAATGCTACAAGTATTTTTCATAAATTTCAATTTCTACTTTAACTTTCTACGTACTTTCTGAAATAATTACAACAGAGTTGAATAATAATATCAGGGCTAAGTGTAGCTAAAAATAAGCTTCTCTAGACAGAAGGGAATACAGTTATTCAAATTCTATGTCAATATTTCTCCAAACTTCATTCTCTATGTCCACAATTTATTAACATACAGATACTCGGTTCGCCACAAAGAAAACTCCACCCAACAAAGTACTTTTCTCAGGCTTCGCGTAGGGTCCAAATCATTGTCGCAAATAAGACGTATCGATAAGTTGTTTATATGGGAAGGTGTTCGCCCCACGGTGGTCACTGAAAAGAGATCACTCGGCCAAGAAATGAAATACGTTCACGAGGTTTGACCCAAGGGCGTGTCCAAGCGACTCAGTGAACGAAAACGCGAGAGAAAGGGGTTATGCGCGGGAAAAGAAGGCGTGCGCTCGGACCGGAAATAAGCAAATCTCGAAAGTCTGTTGGCAAAACTTGGTCGGTGGTCCGAGAGGCAAGATGAATCGAAAAGTAATTGCCCTGGTCGACGTTCGCCTCGTTCTTAATGTGTCTCCAGCCATTATGTCTTCACTATCTTTTTTTTGTTGAAAACGTTCTGGACAGCCTCGGTGTCGAATTGTATTAAAAGGGTTGACGTCTGTCGAGAGACGAGTTGTGGCTCCCAGGGACCTCCCGTCTGGGACTTCTTCTTCGAAATTAAAAGAGTAGATAAATAACCTTTGAAGTATCAAAAATTTGTACAGAAAATGTATATAAGAGTTGAAAACGATCTTTTTGTGGTAGCATATTGGTTAGCAATCTAGGAACAGAGCATTGTAACGGCAGACATTCTTTATAAAGATACTAAAACTGGTCCGATAATGTTGTTAACATAGTTACTCAGTTCGACAGTATGCTCAATTGAATATAAATAAAAAAAATCTGACTCTCTTGCTATTACGTATTTTTTTTTTTTTAATTTTGCATAACGTTTCAAGCGTTGTGACTAACCATCAATTGCTCTATAATCTTAAAATCTAGATGTTTAATTTCCAAGTTCACCCAATGGTGTTTTAAAGATTCAATGGTCCAGTTATGTGGCACATAACATATTAACTGCAGCTTGTATACACTGTACAACCTCGAATGGTTTGGTCCTCTTCCACCCTACTTAACAACATTACGACCACAGTATACATTTCAAATGAAAATATCAAGAATCTTCCGAAATATAAACTTCAACTTTGACACTTCCGGAAAATCATCCCTAAACATTTTACACGACATTCTTGAAATGATCGCCTTTCGAAAAATGAAACCACAACATCAATTTCCGCACCCTTGTACCCCCTTAAAGGGGTGTAAATTGTATTCTGTAATAGAACTCGTGCAACGTTCCCCTTGGGCGCGTTTGTTTGGTCATGCCTGCTTAAATTGTGCCTGCTTAAATTTCGTTTTATAGCGCAGGTATTATCTTTCGCGAGTTGCGTTTTCAATTGGGTCAAAATTCGACGCAACGTCGGTTTGTCTTTGGATTCGTAACGTCGGTTTGAAAGAGTTTCGTCCGGTTTATTGGAGCAGGGTGCCATAGAACTCGTAATTAGTTTGCAGGAAGTATACTGTCCAGACTTTGTTCGACGTTGTGTTTGCACCAGGGGGAGGGCGAGCACTCGAGACGATTGTCACTATTAACGAACGGTTCGGACGGATTTGCGAGGAGTTTTATTGCATGTAATCGGGAAACTATAACTTTTACCTGCCACCGTTACACGGACGGTATTCTTTGCTGTATAAGAAACCGTTCCCTTTCAAAGACTGCCACACAATGTCCATTCGCACAATACGATCGCCCCTGTCTCCACATTATCGAGGTTTCCATTAGCAATTACAATTTTTTTTTTTTTTATTTAAAGGATTACATCTTTTTTGGGGGCAAATCTTTTGCTTAACCATGTGGTATTTTCCTAT